ACGCGTCCCCACACGACACAAGAACTCGCTATCTTCTAGCATTTAAATTCAAACCCTTATGACCTATGTATAAAGTTATAATTTCTATAACATTGTAAACTTTCGGGTTTCATTTCGACTAAAATAGAAAGATACGGGTCTTAACGCGACATTTATTAATGTGTCACATTATAATTATTATAATGTCATGTTAAGACCCGAGTCTTTCTATTATAACTTCAAATTTTTACGATCGCAAAAAATAATTTACTGATTTCACATTGTTTGACTTGGCTACTTAGTGAGTTCTTTTTCCAAGCTGAAGGGGTATCAAATACGAACCTGAAGAACAGCCATCCAGAGATCAGACCCTCATCAGCTTTGCGGGGAGGCTTGTCCATGATGTCCAGGTCAGGAGGGTTGAAGCCGAGGGCCGTGGCGGGCAGACCGTCCGTCACCAGGTTGACCCACAACAGTTGCACGGGAATGAGAGCCTCGGGCAGACCCAGGGCCGCGGTCAAGAAGATGGAGACGACTTCGCCGATGTTGGAAGAGATCAGGTAACGGATGAACTGCTTCATGTTGTTGTAGATGGCACGACCTGTGGATGATCATTATTTACTTTATTTTTTCGTAAAAACGAGACATATTGTGTAGTTACATTAGAACGTAAAGTTTTTCAAAATGATGGTCCGTAACTCTAGTTAAACGTTTGCTTTGAGGGTACATAACGTAGCTAACAGTTGAATTTAGTCGTTGTTTTATAGTTCAAGGAAGAACTTATAAAATATATTATCTTATCGACAGCACATTTAAGCTAAACATAGTGGCGTCTTATTTAGTTATTAAACATATTATTTTGCAGCAAAAATGCAATATAGTCTGTGGTGCTGTCGACTGTACAATATGAGTCCAATCGTGTTATGTATTGATTTGTATTTCACTTCAACTCGAGCCTTCCTCAATTTTGACAAGTAATAACATTATAATATTCTTGAAATTCAAACATTAACAGAATTCACTTTTACTCTTAATTTACGAAAACAATACAAACCTTCCTCAACGGCAGCGACGATGGATGAGAAGTTGTCGTCAGCCAACACCATCTCAGCAGCAGACTTAGCGACGGCGGTTCCGGAGCCCATGGCGATACCAATCTCGGCCTTCTTCAGAGCAGGGGCGTCGTTTACACCATCACCAGTCTGTATTACAAAGGTTTGGTCGGTCAATAAGGCCGCTTTCAAATTAGGGCGTGAGAATCGCGACAGCAGCGTTTTTATAATGTAAATGCATCCACTGTCACATAGTATGAAACTATCGGCAGCGCCTCTGTCGCGCTGCTAAAGTCGCCTAAATGTGAAAGTGCTCTAAAAGTCAGAATACCTATAGTACACAAGTGTCTTTTTGGGTCAAATAGACAGTAAAATACAAAATAAATAACCTTAGATCAATTCTAAATTATGTAAGCGAGAGCAACGGGTAAATCGGTGAATTTCATTATGCTAATATAGAAAAAATAAAGACAATAGGATTTGATAATTTGACTGTATGATATGTGTGCACCTGTGTTTTTATATGATCAAAATTTTAACAAAACATAAGAGACACTACGTTAGCTCGTTAGGTTATTGGGAGCTAAGATTTATAGCCTGACCAGGAACATAAAAACCCTGGCATAGAGGCGCGTCAATTGCATTTGATAATGCAACACTGAGTACAGTCGTACCTGTGTTAAATTAATATCCTAACTTTATGTATCAGGATTCAGGATTACGTCCTAATTTGATATTTTCATAAATTAACGAATAAAGATTGTATAGGTAACCTGGTTTAAATAAATTAAATGAAACCATCAATCGAGCTAGTAGGATTTATTTTATTATTCATCAATAATCAAATTCAGAACTTGAATATTCCACTGCAATGTCTGCTCATGAACGCTTCAAACTCGGTACTTCTTTCCCAATTCCATAAAATTCAACACTTAGAAAGTGACAAAAATCTTTAAAATAGGTAGTTGAAACAAACCACAGCTAATTTTCATAGTGGACTGTACTATACGATAAACATGTCAGTCAATTTGACAACCTTTGTCGGAAACATTATTCAATGAAAATATTGTCCGAAAACTTAGTATTTCTCTTCGACAAATACTTTAACACATTGTGAACCACTTTTCTTTCACGACTATAAAAAGATTTTAGCAATTTAATTCACAAAATCAATTGCGCACATTTAAAATAAAGTTTGTTTACACTTTGACAGCAATAGACTGACATGCAAGGTGACATATCAATGAAGTTTTCAGTTACTGTTGCCATTAAAAGAAATTAGTACCATTAGTTTTCCGCAACATGGCGAGGGTTTTTATGTTCCTGGTCAGGCTATAATATAGCATAAAAATGATGCTGAAGTAACTCTATTCTAACTTCAATAAATTTTTATAGTGAGTCATGAGTAGTCTGTGTTTCACTACACTAGATCAGAGCGGCCGAAAGTCGAGGGCATTGAAAAACACAACTCAAAAGAGATGAGAAGAGATAAAAGCGTGATTCGTCTAATTTTAGCATTTCGGTAAACTCCGCAATTAAAGGTGGCGATTGTACGCGATACAAGCTGCCAGTTTATAAACAGCGAAACCAAACATAAACAGCGAAGCGCTCCCACTAGTAACAATGTAAACAGAGAATAATATTGTGGAATTAAGTGATAGTGAACCGAACGTAATTCACTAGGGCTTATCTGATATTGTCTAGTTAATAACAGGTTGTGTTTGATTTTATAGTATTATTTTCGTACTTGAAACTGGAGGTTAATGTTATCGTAGAGTTAACTTACCATGGCGGAGATTTCGTTCATGCTTTGCAGGAATTCAACGATCTTGGACTTGTGGGCGGGCTCCACGCGGGAGAACAGGCGAGCGCGGGCGCAGGCGGCGCGTTGTTCCGAGACGGGCAGGTCATCGAACTCGCGACCAGAGTAGGATTTACCAGTGGTGTCCTCATCTTCAGTGAACACGCCAATACGCCTGAAAAGTACCAGAACGTTAGGCACAATCATAAAAAAATAATATAACAACGCAGATAAGGAACAAAGTGTACCTGCAGATGGCTTCAGCGGTGGACTTGTTGTCACCGGTGATGACGATTACGCGGATACCAGCAGCGCGGCAACGGACGATGGAGTCGAATACTTCCTTGCGGGGAGGGTCCAACATTCCCACGACACCGACAAAGGTGAGGTTGACTTCGTAGGTGAAGAACTTGGTGGAGTCGCCGAGGTCCATCTCATCGGGCTTGAGCGGGTTGTCAGCGGTGGCCAGGGCCAAGCAACGCAGTGTGTCGCGGCCGGTACCGTACTGGCGGGTGAGGTCCAGGATGCGGTTCTTGAGGGTGGTGTTGAGGGGCACTTTGCTAGTTCCGACGCGGGCGTGGCTGCAGCGGTCGAGCACGCCTTCGGGCGCGCCCTTGACGAACAGTTTGGGTCCAGTTCCGAGACGGGAGGGCTTCAGGGGTGTGCAGTAGGTGGACATGGACTTCCTGTCACGGGAGAACTCGAGGGTGAACTCCTTCTTCCACTTGGTCTCGACTTCCTGGCGGACGACGATGGCGGACGAGCGGCGGTCGAGGCCGGTCTTGGAGACGTTGAAGGGGTTCATCTTCTCGGCCAGCACGATGAGGGCGGTCTCGGTGGCCTCGCCGACCTTCTCGAAGGCCTGCTTGAACTCGTTGAAGTCGATGGCGGAGTCGTTGCACATGACGCAGATGGTGCCCAATTCCTGGAGAGCGTCGAACTCGGAAGCCTTGATCTTCTGTCCCTTCAGGTAGACGTCGCCGATGGGTTCGTAGGTGGAGCCGGTGATTTCGAACTCGAGGAAGCTGCTGTCGCTGCCCTCGATCTTCTCGAAGATGAACATGCGAGACACGGACATCTGGTTGGTGGTCAGGGTGCCGGTCTTGTCGGAGCAGATGACCGACGTGCAACCGAGGGTTTCTACGGAGGGCAGAGACCTGACGATGGCGTTCTTCTTGGCCATCCTCCTGGTGCCCAGAGCCAGACAGGTGGTGATGACGGCGGGCAGGCCTTCGGGGATGGCGGCGACGGCCAGGGCGACGGCGATCTTGAAGTAGTAGACGGCGCCCTTGATCCAGCTTCCGCCGTGGGCGGGGTCGTTGAAGTGACCGATGTTGATGGCCCAGACGGCAACGCAGATCACAGAGATGACTTTAGACAGCTGCTCACCGAACTCATCGAGTTTTTGTTGCAGGGGTGTCTTGATTTCTTCAGTCTCGGACATTTCGGTACGGATCTTACCGATGGCAGTGTTGAGTCCGGTGCCGATGACGATACCGCGGGCCTTGCCGGCGGCGACATTGGTGCCGGAGAAGAGGATGTTCTTCTTGTCCTGGTTCACAGCGCGGGGGTCGGGAATGGGGTCTGTGTGCTTGATCACAGACACGGACTCACCAGTCAGGATGGACTGGTCAATACGGATGGTGGTGGAATAAATCTTGATTAGGCGGATATCGGCGGGAATCTTGTCACCGACGGACACCTCCACGACGTCGCCGGGAACGATTTCTTTCGCTCTTACTTTTTGTACGCCGGATTTGTCTCCTCTTATTACTTTACCCATTTCGGGTTCGTATTCTTTTAAAGCTTCGATGGCGGATTCGGCGTTTCTTTCCTGAAATATTCACGATGGCTGTTAGTGGCGACCGTAAACATACTTGTACATTTGAACGTAGTTTAATTTTGATTCATTTTTACCTGCCATACTCCTACTACGGCGTTAGCAATAAGAATTAGTAAAATAACAAAGGGTTCTACGAACGCTGAGAAAGCGTCTTCATGTTCTTCAAATAAAGCTAAAACCTGAAAACAAAAGACGTTCATTAGAATAATGTATTGTAATGATTCCTAATGTACTGTGGGATTGCGATTTAAGTATACTTACGAAAGAAATAATAGCGGCTAACAGCAAAATCTTTACTAAGAGGTCATCGAATTGTTCCAGGACTAACTGCCATATACTTTTGCCTGTAAATAAATAAATCATATTACAAATGGGTGTTATGATTAGGCGCAGTTATATTAGGAAGTTCAATTTTCAAGGTGGTTCAGTTTTTTTGTATCTAAGAAAACTACTGTTTATCAACAAAAAAAAAAAAACTGGCACATATACTACCAAGAATTAGCATATTAATTTTATAGATTTTATATTCGTTGGGCTAGTAATCATAACTACAGTTGTTAGTTTTTCATGACAAAAGCCTACAAGGTTGCAAGGAAAATGAAATGTGTCTCCAGAGCCTTGACACGCTTTTTGAACTTATTGTCAGGTTTGATGTTTACTCGTTTACACATTATGGTATTTGTTAGCGTTCCAAATTATGCGTGCCTCGAATGGCTATGCATTTATTTGATGGACAAAAACCATTTTAACTCGTATACTTATCCAGTCAGCATACTCGACGCTTACCTTCTTCCGCAGGCAGTTCTGTAAAGAGAAAAGAACCATAATAAGATTTTTGAATAAAACATCAAAGGAGTAACAGACTATAAAACAGTCAGAGCAGGCATGCGATCTATCTCGGCAGTTACGATCGTACATAAATACATTAGTCGGTGGTCGAGTAGTGCGCCTGGCCGCGATCGCGCGACCAGCAATGACGTCAAATGCGAGCATAGCACACGGCCGCCAGCCGGCGACTTGTCCTCACTATTGTATCTGCGACACCTTATCAGCTCAAACAGGTTTCGGTATTACGCCTTAACGGAAAGCCCGATTTGCACAGACAAACAGACGTGATTCGCCTAATCTGTGGACTGAATTACTCAATTTGTACGATAACAGCAAATAGTAGTTTTATCTACGTTCCCAACAAAGAAATAGCGAAAGTACTTAATGATAAAGGATTCGCGATGGGCTGACGCGATACTGAACATATTTATCTTTAAATAGAAACCTACTTGTATGGCTTTTTCAAGAATCTGTTTACAACAATGTTGTAAAGCATTTATTTGCATAGAGTTCATATTGTGTGCTAGTTGCGAGATACGCGCGGGTAAAATATTCGAAGACGTCAAACGCATCATTTATGATGCTGTTAGGTTTTTTTATTGCGATAGCATTCGTGGGGCGGTCACATTGGGCCACGTCGCTGGCGTGACCTGTACAATGACCTCACTCCGTGCGTAGCTTTGACGTAATACATTTGTCGAGGTTCCGGAACCAATTGTCTTTGTGGCGGTGAGGACTAATTAATCAGATAGGTACGTCTGGCCGACCTCATCTCGTTAGGAATCTCTCGAGATGGGCTCGTTGCTTCGTAATCGGGCAACGTGCGCTAAGTCAATCGTTGTACCGACTCTATTTGCGTACGCGGTCCGAGTGCCAGCCTCGCCGTGACTAATGTAAGCAATTAGTCAACGCATCGATAACGCCGTGTCAGCATCTGTGCACGCTCGCGAAGATCAATAAAACTAACAACGGGGCATAAAACAGCGAGAAGTCAGCAATCTCCACGCCAAGCTTGGAGACTAACACCCACGCGGACGTGACAAGACTGCCTATGTCATAAAACAATACACAGTATAACGTGTATGGTGGACCGTTAATTATGCTGATCGCAATAAGTGACCATAGCAAAAAGTTAGGAAACTAGCGGACGCCCGCGACTTCGATCGCGTGAAGCTAAAAACTTTAATCTGCCGTTTTCCTTCCTTAAGACGGGGTTTTCTAAAATTAATCTGTATGGGAAAATTAGTAAACTGCAATGGAAAAGTTTCCTGTAAATAATAGTTTCGTATAATCATGATTAACTTATATCAGACGAACACCTTCTAGGGTTTTTTGCTAGTGACCTAAGGAGAATGCTACAAGTTAGCTACAGGTGGATTGCCCTTGACTTCAATTGTACCGTTAGACTTACAACTAGCTAGCAAATTGTTTAGTCTCAACTCGCGAACTTGGCAATTTAACCGTTTTATAGTCGAATTTTTTAATCAACAGTCGAACACTGTGTCTAAAGCAGCACAAAACATGAAACGGCCAAAAAAATTTGCTTTCCAAATGTCGCAAACTTTTGTGAAAGTAATGACATTCCCTCTTCTGATACTTTGTAAAGTTAAAAAGATCATGTTTAAAATGCACCGTGTAGAAATTGTGAAGAGAAAGTACGTAGCTACACCTAAAACAACCAAGTCTTAAAATATAATATGCTTTTGACGATGGAGGATGGTGGATGACTGGTAACACTACTGTGTGTAAAGCCATGTTCGCAAATAAAAATGATTTGATTTGATTTGTCGATAATATGATGTAGCGTAAAAACGAGTAAATTGGTAATAAAATAAATAACATGGTGAAGCTACAAGTTATCGTGCTGTCAACGTGGTGTTAAGTTAAGCGTGTTAATTTACTTAAAACGTTCAGCGCTAAAAAGTACGTGACGAATCCATTTCATGACCCAATTAATAGTGCCATGAGTGTGATATATCTCGCCGCTGCAAAGCTTACAGTAGCAGATCAGTGGATGCTCTGAATAAACTGGGATATTGGATATCATTATATTTGTATGCGTAATGCGTAATAGAGCGTCTTCCAGCATACTCGTGCCGTCCAAAATAAACTTACTACCTACATACTCGAAGCCGAGGTATTCTTGGGCTCTAGCAGCGGTTTTAGATTGTGCCCGCGATTAACTGCTTATTGCAATCCGAACTATCAAAACACATGCAATATAGCTCTAGCATATAGACGCAATGAAACGGTCAAAATTGAAAGAGATTAACCTTCTTAGCCGGTGCATTACGACACGTTACTACTGCGAGCTAATTGAGACATTTCCTCAATGATGTTTGTGTTTTCAAACTGAACCAAACGTACGTTTGACGGAACTTTACGGTGTGCTACAAAAACAGCGTCCCCTTATCATTATCGATATACGACTGTTTAGAGGACGAACGTTATGTTAGCGGCACTTTTAAGCGGTTGGTTTGGTTCTATACTTGTGAATTCTTAAAAGACTTTTGCGAATGTCATCAGTCGAGAATCATAATATCACTACATAGTATACAACAGTCGCTTTCCGCTGTCTGTCCTTATGTATGTATGTTTAGATCTTTAAAACTGTATGTTTGGATTTTGATGCGGTTTTTTAATTGATAGAGTGATTCGAGAGGGACGTTTATACACTCGGCATCAAATAAATCGCACCTCCCGCGACAAGCACTTATCAAACGTATGCATCCCCACATCCCACCAATATTGGTACCATTTGAAAGCCTAGTTCTAAACTTCATTTCATTAAAGGAAAGGTTTTTATCCCAAAAATGTGTCTTTACAAGGATCCAGAGTCACTTCTTCAAAAAATAGGTACTTACGCTATAGCCATTTTTTATGACTATAAAACTGTTAAGTTGGGATTAATCGCTATCCATCTGTTAAAGAGGACACGTGAGATCTTCATTTGGTTTTGTAACCATAAAAATTGGTCTAATTGATCCCAGAGGTGAGCACAAAGTGAGGTCTATTTTCAAGTCACATTTATGGTATATGTTAATCATTTATTTAGAAATGAAATGTATTTTTCTTTAAGGATATTTATTGGGCTTTCAAATAACACCAATATTGTTGGGGTACCATGATTGTGTCAGAAGAAAATCTTTAAAGTTCGCGTCGCGGAAGATGCGGTTTATTTGATGTTGAGTGTATTATAACTAGCACACGTGCGAAGCCGGGGCAGGTCGCTAGTTGACAAATAAGACTAAGTTTTATATCTGTAAGCGTTTTATGAATACCAACCGAGACTGCACAAATGAGAATGATAAAACAGCAAACATGTTTAGTGTTTTTCTGTTTGTTTTGTCCTACTAATAAACTTCGCGTTTATTTTGTTAGGGATTGCGAGATAAGTAAAAAGGTTTATTCACAACACAACGACTGTGCACGACACCAATTTTATTCTTCTTTTATTGTTCGACTGAATTTAGATATTTAAACAAGGCCTTTTCAATTCTTATTCTTGTCTGGTTTGCATGGAAACAGCCGTCTAATAAGCTACGTACCTATGTGGTCCTTCGAGGATACCTAGTTGTTAAAATATTATATTCGATAATAATGATATACCTATTGTAAATACCTAGGTCAATATTAGTTTCTGAAGAATATTATTTTCCGAAAACATGCCTATGATACACATTGTTTACCTTAATTATATTAATTTAAGCACCTATGTATAGGTATTTGAATTGAATTCGCAATAACAATGATGCATTTAACACTGACTATCGACCTACATTTAACCCGGCGAGGATGTGGAGGGGTCAATTTGACCCCGTGCTACATATTTTTGTGTACAGTTATTTATCCTGTAGCCGTGTGCTGTTGAACGTCTCAGTAGCTGGAGTAATTGAACTCTGCTCCCCTTTGCACGCCACTTGTGAGTCGACCGTCGTCGGTGAAAGAAAATAGACGAGCGTAAATGTAAAAATCACGAAATTTTGCCAAAATCACATTGCTCTGTTTTGTTAACAATGAGCTGATTTGTACCTTAGAAGACTCATTATGAATAAATAATGATGTACGACATTGATTACCAGAAAATACTAATTAATATTATGAGATATGATAAAATTGCTTTTTTGTTCCAAGATAATGCAAATTTCACAATTTTCTAGACTTTAAGAATAGCTCTATTATCTAAACATGTATATGGCTATTGGTGAATTTTTCAATTTAAATCCTTTAATTACTAACTATTACTTAAGTTTCTTGATAAATATTTTTTAAATTACCGCTTAGTAGGGAAAAATCTACAAATCAAATACAGGGTCATAAAGACCCTCCACATCCCCGACTGATACTTTTTGTACCACATCCTCGCCGGGTTAACGCACAGTATGTTTTTGTATAGCAGTTTTGTTCATCATTTAATTAATAAAGCTGATTTAGGTATGTTACACAGATTAAATTTGAAGGCCAGTAAACTAACATAACATCACATTTAGAACCCAATAAATAAAATTACTATTTAAAAGGTTCAGTTAGTTTTAGAAGGTTAAAATAAAATATTCCATTAATATTATCCCAACTAATATTATAAATGCGAAAGTAACTCTGTCTGTCTGTCTGTCTGTCTGTCTGTTACGCTTTCCCGCTTAATCCTCGCAACCGAATTTGATGAAATTTGGCATAGAGATAGTTTGAGTCCCGGGAAAGAACATAGGATAGTTTTTATCCCGGTTTTTGAAACAGGGACGCGCGCGATAAAGTTTTTCTGTGACAGACAAAATTCCACGCGGGCGAAGCCGCGGGCGGAAAGCTAGTAACAATAATAAAGAACAAAGATTGTTAATTTTTTCCTGCTGCTTACTTTCATATAGGTATTGATTGATGTAAGTTGGAGTAGAATCGTTAAATTACCATACAATCAATTTAAATAGGTATTCTGTGGTTATTACCTAGTTACTATGACGAAGTGCATCTTATTATCGCCTACCTACTACTTTTGCCGCGCAATAATGACGTACAACTGGTACAACTTAACTACTTTGTATTTGTAACAATCCAAGTTCCTGGTTATGTAAATAAAATTGAACGCTGACAATAAAATGTAACATAAATAGTCCGAACGGCCGACGTCATTGCATTAATGATATAGGTGCGAAAGCGTCATAAATGAGATTCCTTTTTAGACGTCTAACAATTATACGTGTTAACGATATTACTCAATCGCATGGAACGTGTAGGTACCTGTTTACTAATGTACCATTATTTTCATTAAAAGTTTGAAATTAGTCTGATAGCGTGTGCGGGGTTAGTTAATGTTAACCCATTAAGCGTTAAGTTCAGGCGCTTCGGGTGGTAGCGTTATCGTTTTTACGTGAAATCGAGCATTAAATCGTGCCGCCTCAGCTGTGTCCTATATTTGTTGGCGGCCGGGAGCGCCCGTCACGCCTCAGGGCGCCGAGCTCACCACACGCTCCACAGCCTCCGACCCTCGACTCTTGCCCACCTATAAATAAATATCTGACGCACACAGACGTCTATCATCTACCGTCGAATTATCATGCTCAGACAGGCTAATCACTTACATGAATTTTGAAATCTCAAAAAATTCCATCCACTTGAGACATATTCCTCTCTGTTAACGTTGGCAAGAACTTAATAAAAAAACGTGCACTATTCTAGAATTATTTACGTGTTATCTATCATTAAATCTGTCTATATTATATGTAATTATTTCAAAATATCTGACTGATAACAATTGTTTATCTTATTTACCCAAACAAATACTAATTACCATCAGAAATAGTCAAATCACAATACAAAATGGAACAAGGAGCCACATTACTTAGTTTAGCAATAAGAAAAACACATTGCGCACTTTCATACTAGTACTTATGAGGAAAACTACCATGAGAATAAAACAATAACCCAACCGAATATGTTCGAGCAATTAGTATGGACTAGCAGGACAATAGAGGCAATTTTTCACATGTTATAGATTCTCCTAAGTGTAATGTGTAAACAACTTTGCAAACTACTATAAAAAGACGTAGGTAAATATTGAAAAACAATTTAAAATATTATTGTATTACATTCCAGTTAAAATATCATAAAATAACTTTTTGGAGTGCACAATATGATCCAGACGTTATGAGCAATTATTTGCATTTGTTGACAAGTTTATCTTTAGTGCATTAAAAAAACCTATGTCCTTCCTATTTTTCAATAACATTGCATTGATAGTGAGGTTATTCTGCACAGCAGTCACAATAATGTAATAGACAATATTAATGTTAACTAATAAATGTTATTAGTTCAAAAGTATGAAATTCATAGAGGTTCTACTGCTGATCTATGTTAGAAGCAACAATTATAACAGTGCGCTATGATTGAAATATAATTCTTTAAAATATGTAAAATCACTGTTGATTAGAGATAAGTATTATCTATACTAATATTATAAAGCTGAAGTTGTGGAACATGACGCTCTACCACCATAAGGAGTTAGAGCATTTAATTTNTTTTCTAAAACTGATAGTTTAGCCGGAAAAAAATATTTTCCATCCTATTAGTACGCCGGCTGCGCTCGATTCGGATATAATGACGTCACGCGGCCTTGCGCACGTTGACTTTTAGCGGCAAAAACGGCCTATGTTTATTACTTAATATCTTCGTAAGTAATGGTCCGATTTGGATAATTCAAAGAGATATATCTTTCTTATGTCTTAAAGATTAACGTAGATACTAGTTTTATTGAATTTTCTACAACAGTACTGATCCTCATTGTTCATAATATTTAAAATTTAGTCATTATAGATATTTTATGTAACTGAATAATTCACTGTGTTTAAACGAGCAAATCAAAGTCTAAATTAGTGACCGCCATCTATCGACGTGCTTTTGACGGTCGTTAACATTCATGAGAGCGAAGCCGTGAAAAGTATCATTAAAATTTTATGTAATTGAATCATTCACTGATCACTGTGTTTAAACGATCAAATAGTATTCAAACATTTAGATAATAACGTTAAAAACCATTTAAAAATCCTATGAGAACTTTTTCGACTTCTACACGGACGAAGTCGCGGGCAAAAGCTATTTGTAAAATCATCATCATCATCATTTCAGCCATAGGACGTCCACTGCTGAACATAGGCCTTTGTAAAATAATTAGACTAAATTATTAAAAGTGCCTACCCAAAGTCATTAGTCCACGCGGACGAAGTCGCGGGCACAGCTAGTCTGTTCATATATCAGAATGACCCTTAATAGTGAAATCTTTGCCATTTAACACCTGTCCTTATCAATCTGTATTTTATACATACATACATAATATAATCACGCCGATTATGGATTATTTCAGCTGTTACATTGCTTCAAGCAGTCACCCTGGCATCTTATTTATTTTTAGTGACCATTGTCAACACTGAATGATTCATGGTCAACCGTGTCCAGCTGGCAAAGCTTCAAGTAACCATGAGTGATAGTCTAATACCAAAAAAAATAGATCTAGCAAATTTTAGATTCAGGGCTAAGCAATAAGTACAATAAAAGAAGTCAAGACAATTTATTTCAACAAGCATGCATTTGATACTTGTTAGTATATTAATAAAGGTTGAATGTCAATCTTCAAATTGATCAAATCAGATTGTTACTACAGATGCCATAAACATTACAGTAGTTTTAGATACATTAGTATGACAGTAATAACTGATTGGGCTAACATTACCAACATGGTAATTTAATTCATAAAAGCTTTTGTTGATTCATAATAATCAGTATAAATCTTGTGTACTTGAAACTATCTCAGCTGAACATCGGCTATATCTCAACATTCTTCACGATCATTTCCTCGTTATAAAAGACACTACTAAGCCCCCTAGAAACTGAGTAACCCTAGGTTAATGTAGAAAGTTATCTAAATAAACTGTTATTTAAATATGTCAGCAACTAAACAAATATTATGAATAATAACTTGTTGTTTGTCTCACTGGTGTATGAAGCTTTGACAATAGTTGCCTTAAGAATTGTAATGATTTAGGAAAGCAATGCCTAAAAACTAAATAAGGCTCTCAACAAATAAAGTGATAATTTTTAACCATATCTTGATGTTATAAGAACCTAAAGGAAGGAAAATATATTCATACTACATGGGAATTACAAAATACTAAGTCTGCTCTGACTGTTTTAACAAACTTGTAAATATCACACCAGATAATGTATAAAATAGAAAAGGAAACTTACCATTGGGCCCATATTTCTCCTGGTTTCTTTTGACTTGGTCTGGACTAAGGCCTTTGTCTGGGTCTGTGCCAAAATATCCTAAAACTTCGTCCACGGATTTCGAATGAGCGTCCTCCATGGTGGAATTACTACGTTGCCGTCAGTTCTAGAAGACAAGAAGAGATTAGGTTAGGAATGACGAGTCATCATTCTCAGTTCAGCTTGCTTTGAGGTTATGTTTCTTATATGTTTAGTTACACAATAATAAATGGTGTATCCTTTATCTCATAAAGCAGTACACAATGATTTATGCTTCAAAAAAATTTGAATTCAGTGCGCACTAAATCCACTTGAAACAACACGAATGACAGATTTTAGGGTCATACTACGCATCATGTACATTATCCTTAAGTCTGAAGTTTATTTTATAATAATTATCATACCCCACGACAAAGAATAATAAAAAATAGGCCAAGGGAGATTATTACTGAGTAACTAGCAATTTCCTAATAATAAATGGCAAGCGCCGTTTGACCACTGCACCACTCAACTCACCAAAAACTTTTTTAATACATGAGATTATGTTGTCTACTTAATATTTCACTTAGATAAAACTCTGATATCTATTTTTCAAAGAAGTAACTATTTTTGTACTAAGTTAATACTTTTTCTATCGTAAATATCATAAACCACAAGAACACGTATCCAATGCAGCCGTCATTTTTCCGTAAACTGACATGCGAAAAAGTGAACGATCACAGCGCCATCTATTTGTATGTCATAAAGTTATTTCAAATCAGAATCTTTATTTTCCAAATATTGTCTGTAAATCACATTTATATTCACAGTTAATCATGAAAAATATTCAAATATATTATAACTAAAATAAAACTGAGGCTGAAATGAAATAAAAATTATCACATTATTTATGGTCGCTTAGAAATGTGGAGCGATCCTATAGGTTGAGTTTGTACCACGTGATCAAAGCTATTTTCGTGACCTAAGCGATGGAAAAAATGCGGTATTTTTAAAATTCTAAAAATTTGTTTTGCGTTATGTAACACTTTATCACTTGGGAACATCCATGAACTTTCGAAATAACTCGTAGCACTTAATTGAACACTTGAGTTTACCACACACACATCTGATCCGATATGGGAAAGTTGAAATTAGGAACTTACTGAAATATTTTTTTTTTCGACAGCGTCGGGAAGGAAAGAAGAAATAAGAGTGGCGCGGGAGATGTTTTCCCTCCGCGCCCCGAGTATCGACTCCCGGGCGAAGAGCGACGATTTTAGAGCGGCGCGGGCGCGGTGGAGGGATACCGACTGAGATTTCTTTAATTATTTTGGCAACAGTACTCGATGGCACTGCCGAGTCGCTTTCCAGGGTTGCATGTCGCGCGGCGGCCGTCGGCGCCGTCCTATGATGATCTTTTTATAGCGGCCGCTGCCCGGGTCGAGCTCCCGGCACTACAAACGCCGTGTCTCCTCATCATTATGGAAAATGCTTTAAAAGCATCACTACATTTTATGCATTTTGACAGAAAACTTTAGTTAGTCCTGTTTGATCTATAATTCCATTTAGGATAAGAACTAGGTAGTCCAGTACCGTCAAAGTAAAGCGCCCATGCACGTTTTACCTTGATCTTCGAAGGTCAATACAAAATGTAGGTAGATAATATGCACGATATCTAGGACATGTTCCCCTTAATTAATCTGCGATAAACATTGATCAAACATTACGTTATCAACTGTTGAATGCATATTTATCTGCCTATTTGTACTTAAATGTTCATAAGAGGGCAAATGACCATTTATCATTGAAAAGCGCGTTTAGAGTATGGATAATTATTCTTTTTCTTTCGTATACGTCTTCGTTATCGATAAATCACGTGAGTAAACAAATACGAGGGTTACGTTCATGGTAATAAAATAGAGTCTGCTGCTTTTATAGAGGAGTAAAATAATTAGGGCAGTAATTATAGCAGGCAGGTAGTTATCGAGCAGATAATTGCAAGTATTTGGAGCACGGCCGAAAGATCGACATTGGTTACCTGGGTTGGCAACCACCATTCACCCTTTGACACTGATCTATGAGATCTAATATTTTCTATCTTGACAAGCGATACGCCGGCATGCCTGTGCATTGCTGACAACTATATTTAAAGTTAACATCAAATAACGATAGTAAATTAAATTAGATAGAGAGTGCACTAGTTTTGTTTGTTAGTGGTTTAGCATCATAACGCTAATTCTCGTATTATGATTGGGTGACTTCCGTGCTGTAATTATTTACACTTTTAATGATTAGCATTTACTTTGAGCCTTGATTACTGTAAACGCATCACAATTTTGTCGCTCACGACTGTCTCTTGTAGTTTTTTTTATCTAACTAGATCAAAATGTAAATCATTCAAGTAAAAATTAACAAAACGCATGTAAAGTTACATAAATATATGGAAAAGTCTGAAGATTTGTTATCAGAAGACACTCAGAGACTTTTTATTAGTAGAAAGTTTGTTTTCATGGACTACTTATTTCGTTACCTTACAATTATTTTATAGCAGATAATTTTGCTTAACCACTTAAACGTAAACAAACTACTTGAGTATAAACTTAATCATATACGATAATAAATCTATTATTAATGAACAAATACATGATTTTCCGATGATAGTTAGTTTATTTTCCTGAAACAATGCTACTTATTGCTCGGAACTCTACATAAACACAACAAGTTTCTAAAGCCATAAGCAAACCCACACTATGAATATTCTTATTGACATATTTATACAAAGAAACTCATTTAACTAATATACTTTACGATGACTGTCAGTTGGCGAGTACATTTTCGAAAAAATATGATCACGAATGTTGCATTCTTTCTCTTTTATTAGGGTTCCGTAGCCAAAATGGCAAAAACGGAACCCTTATAGTTTCGTCATGTCCGTCTGTCCGTCTGTCCGTCTGTCCGTCTGTCCGTCTGTCCGTCTGTCACAGCCGATTTACTCGGAAACTATAAGTACTACAGTGATGAAATTTGATGGGAATATGTGTTGTATGAACCGCTACAAAATTATGACACTAAATAGTAAAAAAAAGAATTGGGGGTGGGGCCCCCCATACATGTAACTGAGGGATGAAAATTTTTTTTCGATGTACATACCCGTGTGGGGTATCAATGGAAAGGTCTTTTAAAATGATATAAAGTTTTCTAAAAAACATTTTTCTTAAAGTGAACGGTTTTTGAGATATCAGCTCTCAAAGTCGTAAAAAGTATGTCCCCCCCCCTCTATTTTTATAACTACGGGGTATAAAATTCTAAAAAAAATAGAGGTGATGCATGCTAATTAACTCTTTCAACGATTTTTGGTTTGATCAAAGTATCTCTTATAGTTTTTGAGATAGGTTGATTTAACTGTAATTTTGGTTATATTTGCTGCTACGGAACCCTTTGTGCGCGAGCCCGACTCGCACTTGGCCGGTTTTTATGTTATTTCTTCGCTTTCAACAAGTCGATTTCAGCGGATTCGAAATGTACAGTATAAAAATAGGTATCGTCATAACTTATAAACAACATTATACTACAAAATAACGTTTTGTTGAATAATTTATACAGGTAATACATAAATTTAGAGCTATGAAAATATGACACACATAGTTGCATTGATATAAGGAAATCGGTAGTTTTAGAATGAGGAAACCTGTGGAGGAAACAGTGTGTGTAAATGAGCTTGAATTGAGGTAAGATATTCTTGCATGGAATAACCATGGAATCCGATTGACTTATTGGTGTGATCTGTACCTCTAGTAGGAAAAACTTTCGAGTTCGTTTCGTTGCGTATTCAAAGTGTCACTTTGAATACGCAACGAAACGAACTCGAAAGTTTTTCGTACTAGAGGTACAGTACGGCTAGCACGAAAAACTTTCGAGTGCAAATCGTTTGCGTACTCGAATCGCCATCAAAAGATTTAGTAAGAAAACTACAACAGCGCCCTTGTGAACGTGTCGTAAAGTAAACTTAGTATGAGATGTGGTTGCACGAAACTTATTTTGAGAACCAAAATTGTCACGTTATCGTTTAATTCGAAGACTGAGTATCGAATTTTATCGAATACGCAAACGATTCAAAGACGAAAGTTGTTCATGCTAGAGGTACAGGCGTATGCGAGTATTCGTATACTGGTTGTTCTCTGCCAATCCTACTGTCTCGTCCTTTTCGGTGTACTATGGCTAAACAATTTATGCAAAATTAAAAAAAAGACCTAGTAATCTTTTGTCCTAAAAGCTGTTTTGTTTGAAAGCTTCTAAATTTTCATTAGTTTATCGGTTCTTTGACACACGTCGTAGTCCTACTCTACTAGTCTTTCACACACACCAACCACTTGGCTATATTATTATCTCGTGCAAGCTGTGGCTAATACCGGTTCCCGGTAAAAACTGGGATATAACCGGTATTTAGAAAATATCGTTCATTCAGAATATCAACGCGCATGGTTAGTCACAATATTTTTTATTTATTTATTTTAATTGTATCTAATACGTAAAGATCGATCAATTTCAAACGACAGACGCTTCATTCATACATTTCATTTAATTAACTGAACATTAACTATCTAAAATACCTACATTGTACGAGTATTGTATATTATTAAATGTAGAGTCACGGTTAGGTCTATTAAATTACTAAGAATGTTTGAATAACCAGGCCTTGTTGTTTGTTTATCTATGTCCCTCTTTAATTATTGTATTTCCCAAAGTATGTACCTACTTATTGGCGCAAAAAATATCGTATAGTAACGAAAACGTATAAACAACTTGAATGTGAGGCAATGCAGATAAAACATTTTTGGTTCAATAGCTAATAGGAAATGTTAGTACGATTTTAAAATGAAGTTACTAACTTTTTTATTATTATGCGGCCTTATTTCAATATTTGGAGACATATTCAAATTGCCTATTGGTTATTATTTATTTAGAGAGGTTAATAATACAATTATAGAGGAAACTTTTGTAAAACGGGAAGCGAAAAGTTAATGAGGAGAAATGTAGAGAGGGACTCTACTTGATTAAGGAACACCTTTTTACGTTTAAAATGGCAAATGCTTAACTTTGATCGAAATTGAATAAAATAGAGATATTTCACTTCATAACTTTCTTTAAATAAGTACTCGTAGATTCGATAGTCGTATTATGTACACAACTTGGATCATTCGAAGCGGTCACGAATTGAAATCAAAATCTTATTTTACGACAACGTAATACACCACATCGTGCCTCATACAAATGAGGTACGATGTGGTGTTAATTGTCCATGTTAGTAGGTCTATTTTATTTAAATGTTTTTAATGTAAAATGAACATAAATAATTAAATAAATAACGCAAAAAAAAAAACTTTACAAATTAATACATGTAAATCAGCCTTTACGAGTATTTTAACTTGCGCTATCATGGGAATGGAAGTCCTATTGATTCATGAATCAATCCTACAACCTCGAATTACTTAATTGATCTTTAAATTTATTGTAGAACTGACATTACCTACCTACATTTAGTTTCGTTCAAAAATTTCAGGCAATGAATTTATTTGTTGTGTAGGGCACAATGAATGAAGTAGAGCACGGTTGTTTGTTGCTTTTGGCAGCTGCGTGTAACATTCAATTTTGACCACGAAATAATGGTGACCGACCGCTTAATCAACTAGAGATCTTAGAGACCAAAAGGGGTTACTTAACGGCTTCATTGCTTTTTTCATGAGCTTACTTTGAAAATAAGTTCATGTTCTTAGGTAATTGACATAATTTCGTCATTATGTTGTAAAAGTAATTTAAAGGATATATCTCTGTAACTTATTGTATTCAACTTTCTCTTTTTAATGTTATTTTAAAATTGAGTTTGCAAAAACAATTCGCTGTGCTATTATCATCTTTTTTGCATGAAAGTTGGTAGGTTTAACATGTTAAACAGCTGAAACTTTAAAAAAAATCTACTAAATTGTTTATTGATTGGATGTAATGGTAATTGATCGAAAAATCGAATATCTTTCATATTTTTCATTCAAGCACGCAATACTATTGAACTAATTGTTGGTTTTAACAAGTTGTCAGTGAACTTGCAAGATTTGAACACGTATAATACTGTATTATTAAAACATAGACTCAACCGCGATATATCGTATCCAAACCAGAAGCAACTAGTTGGCTAGGCAAGGTGCCGAGTGTGTTCCGCGATATAAAACAAGCTTTTAAAATTCCTAAGATAATGTAACGAGAACTTGCTTACGCAAAGATACTCTAGTGTTGACTATAGAATAAATCTACCTATATTTGTAATCGATTCGTCATCTACGAATAAACAGGCGAAGGTAATAATCGAAATAGAATTATAGGTACGTTGTATAATCCACTTTGGCAGGTCGACGCGGTGGCTTGTTGGCTGAGGGCGAAGGATTTGAATGGACGCGGTGGACAGATGGGAGGTCGTGTTGTCAGAGCCAAACTCTAGAAGGTAACGGCTTCATTTGGAGTAATTAATTATTTAGTATTAGGTCCTATGTTCAGGCCTTTTGGAGTAAAGACCACACTGGGGTAGATTGAATGATGCGGAAAACATTGGGTATTTTTTTGCAGATCAGTGAGGATTTAAATCATTTAATAAAAAGAAGTTTTTGCATAATGTGCATTAGAAATATCAGTTTTTGATGGGATCCTGCTAATCAAACAAAAATTTCGAATGTAGAGCAAACATCAATGTCTCTGATTCATGGTTCGGTCTATTTCAATGTCCTAAAAACCCAATTCAAGTTCATTTTCCTCGGTGACCTCGTCGATAATAGTTCGTCCTTGATAAAGTTCAAGCTTAAGGTTCTGATCCTGAATTTTACAAGATTTGTGATTCTACGAACTTCTTGGTGTCTTTGAAATGGAAAGTTATCGAAGTCATTTGATATACAAAATTATGATAAATTATGATATTGGAATACGAAACGAACGCGTCTGTATTCCATAATGCGTTTATAACGGCGCATTGACGTCATAGAAATATGAGGTGTTTTGTTCGCTTATCTGTGGTTTTCTTGCAAATGGAGAGTATTTTTACAGCTGCTGGTAACTATGACGCTAAATTATGGTCATTACGTGGACATTATTAGGTCATTAATATGACTTAGTATTCGGAGTCGTGAGCTAGTCAACATGCATTTATATTTTATATTCAAAACTTTTACGAATGTCTAAAAGTGCTTCTTTTTGCAATCAAATCTGTGTGCTATTCTTAGCCGTGACGTAGGCGAACGCCTGTGACGTGATCCGAGTTACATCAACAGTAATATAAGATTAGTTCTTTACTATTATTACTCAGTTTTATTGCACAGTGAATATTATGTATGAAGTTTAAATAAAAAACAAAATAAGAAACAGGTGAGCAGAGTAACGCAGTGGTGTCTAGTAATCTAAGTTTAGCCAGTGTTTCCAGAAGATATTTATAGGAAACATGAACATCTCTGAGCATATCTCAGCTAGAGTTTAGTAGTCAATTAAAACTTTATAGTTTATCACACACTTTTATGACACATTGATTCAAAATTGCTCTATTTACGTTTATGATAAACAGTTATCATTATGTGTTTTTACATGAAAAACTTTTAAGTTTGCACTGAAAACTTTATATCCGTTGCATATTATTCACTCCACTTATTACTTCTGGTAACACTGGCTTCTGGCACACGTCCCACACAACAACTATAGATGTCGCTACAATTCGATTCTTCTTGTACCGAATTATCACTAAACAATCCATGTCCGAGCGCAATCCAGTTTCTGCGGGCAACACTGCACAGTTTCCACATGTATCACACTCGCTTGGCACCGTCACGTGGTTAACTTACCGTATCACTTTATCACTTGGTCCCTAACGTCGTTAGAAAATATACATAGAAATGTATTTTGTTTTTTCTAGGTACTATCGTGAGAGATTTGCGCGCCCCATGAGGACAGAGTCGGGAGTGCGGCGCGCCGGGCGCGGGATAAGGCAGCGGCCCTCTTTTATAAGCTTGGGCGGCGCGCGGGCTGTCTGCCAGACACTCGCGGTGCGGACGCACTCTCACTCATAATTACACACATCACAATTACGACACTAATTAAATATCACGCAACAAGGTCTAAAATCTGACAACTGCGAGTTTTTCGACCGCAAATAAAGTGGTGCGTTTGTAAACTTGGTTTAGGCTTTTCTTGAACATATCCTTAGGTTTTCTGATAATATGACCACTTTGTTTACATATTTCACGAAGGGAAATCAAAGTTTACATAGTAAAGTTGTTAAACTTACCTCAATCAAACCTGTTTTCTGAGTTATTACAAATTTTTTAAAAGTTTATTTGTTTATAAACAAGACTTGAGATGATTCTAAGAAACAAATTAAGAAAGATTGGAAGTGTAAAACTTTTATTAGACTACACTTGTTTTTCAGAACTACATAAAAGCAATCCTACTAAACTGAAAAGTTTTGGAATACAAAATCAGTACCCTAATCTTACACATTAACCTCTTTTAAAATCGTCGATTTGTATATAAATGTTGTAATTGAATGATTACAATGAGTTACGTACCTACTAATCTTTAGATAAACTATAAAAAAGCATTAAACTGTTGTGTTGTAACAGAGGTTTTAAACACAAAATTACTAGGTACTTACTTAGACGGATTAACCGGCTCAATAAATAGGCCACGATATAATATTGATTTTACAAAAGAATGAGGTTTATTGTTTGTTACGCTTTTGTTTACATTCCCTTTTACTGATATTTTATAGAACATTGAAAAGTAACTGTGCCCTAACTGGGTTCACATTTTATAACTGCCTAAATTGTAAGGTCTAATAATAAGTATGTGAATGCACTAATGTGGTAAAGCAATAAAGTGTTGAATAACTTATAATTATATGTAATGTAATATACCGGTCTTGAAAATCTTTATTTTTCGAGTGTATTTTACAACGTTACTGGCCACTTTAAATTTTAACTAATATAAAGTATAATGCATTTAAATGAATCTCCAGTGTTGACTATTTATGAAATCATTTTAACTTTACAGTAAGTACTTTCTTAAATCAACCCTTAAAATACCAAAAAAGGTACAGTAGCAATAAAGAGGCCTTTACCCTATGTAAACAAATTCAAAATATTTTTTTCGTAGTAGCGTAATACGAGTAATCGTGGTTCCATTACGGTGCTACGCCGTAGTCCGTAGCAAACGTAGGGGTCTACTATACGCACGCTACGATCGTAGCAACGCTGTCGTAGATAAATCGCTACGCGTCTACGAAAGCGATTTTTATCGCGTTATTCAAAAGCTATTAGTTAAATAGTTAATATTTTATTAGGTATCTTTAAATCTTTTATGTTAAAATGAACAAGCTGTAATTTGTTGTTGATTGTTTTGGTAACCTTAATATACCTTCCATTAATAACGGCTTTGTGTAAGATGAATCGCTTTATACCGTGCTTCATTTAGGTCGTGCCTAAATTAGGACAGTGAATGGATTCACATCTATCATGTCTTACAAAATGTTTTCTACTGGTTTATGGCTACAGCTTTTGTTCATTCATTCATGGTTGTTAATGTTATGTTATTATTTCTGATATAGTTTTTTAGTTTCTAAACGATTTTTAATTATTATTCTTTAAGGTACTTATAATTAAGCCGATGCGTGCTATGGAGAGGGCTATGCTCGGTGTTTCTTTACGAGATCGAATCAGAAATGAGGAGATCCGTAAACGAACTAAAGTCGCTGAAGTGGCAATGGAATGGGCAGGGCACATAGTACGCAGAACTGACGGCCGATGGGGCAGCAAGGTTCTGGAGTGGAGGCCGCGAGGAAAACGCAGCGTGAGGCGTCCACCCACAAGGTGGACTCACGAGGTCATAAAGAGCAGGAAAGCGCTGGACGCAGGCCGCTACCAACCGGGTAACATGGAAAGCATTGGGGAGGCTTATGTTCAGCAGTGGACCTCCTATGGCTGAGATGATTAAGATGATGATGAATTAAACCGATTGATGATGAATCTAGAATTTTAGACTTAGGTATTCGTATATAAATAATTAACGTGGAGTTCTACTATTTTAGACTGACTACTCGTAACTATTATTGTAAAATAATTAATGTAAACCAAAAATGATCTAACGCGTTGTTCGTATAGGTGTCGTAGATATTGAAACTGACGCGGTATGTTTACTTTGGACATAGATCACAGAATTTTAACTAAAACTCGTATTTTGTCTTGTGACGTGCGCGCGCGCAAGTAAAATAGAAAATCTTTCTGAAATAATTGCACAATTTGAATGTGACGTCATACGATTGCGTCATTAGTCCAATATAGCTTCTGCCTGCGGCTTCGCTTGCATGAATTTGGGTCAGTTACAAAATATTAATGTTAGTTATGAGAGATTGTTATTATTGAGAGATTTTTATTTTAAAGTAATTTTGCTCATTTCGATATATCTTTTTTCTTTTGTACGATAAAAAGTCGAGGCAGACCAAAGTAAAGAAGCTAGCACAAAGTAATGGACATGGACAGAGCATCTATCTTACATGGGAAGGAGGGTTTTCAATGCAGTACCTACTCCACATTTAAGTGCAAATTCCATTTGCCTTTACGTGACTGTCTGATGTACCAAATAGAAAAAAACTACACCAAGTAGGTACCTACTTATGTGGGTGCGTATTAATATTTTAAGTATAGAAACTTTTTTAAATAGGAGGAATTATGGCAGGGTAACATATTTTCGTTGATATTATTTTATTTTACATTTTGTTTTTAACATGTAAGGTTTCATTTGTGAAGTTTTAAGATTTTTTATGTGGTAATAAACCACATAGTCGCACAACACACCTTTCTGTGTCTAGATGCGACAATTAAGCGTTCGCTGTTCACAACACACGTTCAGAATGCGGAACTTTCTGCGATAGACTATAATATGAAGCCTTGATGAATATAAAGAACTTACTTGGTTTGAAATAAAATATTAGATATTATAGGCAGGTAAGTACTAAGTATACAGTTTTGAAATATTGGGTTTAGTTCGATACAAATCAAGCACTTTTATATTTTGTGAAAGTCCAGTATTTCATTTCGTTTTGTTCTTTCTATACCTACGCGTTTTCCTGACCAAACTGCACTGATGCCATGTCGTGTTGCTCCTGAAGTGATGAGCGTATCAACCCAACTTTCAGTATAGCTCATTTAGGTGCTAAAACGCCGATATTATTCTTGTCTGAAACCCGTTTACAGCTTTCAGTATTCAGTAGGTATTGCTCGTAGAGTCTATCGATGTCGCAGCAGCTGAAATGTCGTACGTACAATTACAGTCATGTCGTGCACCTGAGATGCTCCCAGGCAAGTTTTCTGACAACGTTAATAGCATGCACGCTCCATTTAGCGCAGCTCTCGTTACCGGCGAACAACTTACAACAAGTTCTTTCATATTTATTTTAGCTACGTCACACGATACAGGCATGCGTAACCCAATTTTAAGATCTTCATAGCCATTTCGATCAGATATCTATGTCGGCTCATAAAGTCTGGCGCCGCATTTGTGGGTCGGTACATGATAAAAAGTATTGAATTTATTGATAGGAAAGTTAGTCAAACTTTTATCAGTATTTTCCTTTCAATAATAATGTCTAATATGTTTACTTATCGGTCAATAAACTACAAGGGGGTTAATTAATTTATTTTGTTCGGAAAACAACAGTCCCTAAAGAGTATGTTAGGTAGTTTTATGGCACGCACAAATATACGTTCTTTATTTATCAGATCGTTGTAAAGGTATTGAATGTCTAATTAAACGAACGAGGATTTATAAATCCTCCGATTATCGTGTTCGAACTTCTGTTCCATGTTTACGAGGTTCGATATTGCCATTATTACATAAAATAGACTATTACTCTAGGTACCTAGTTCTAGACCTCAATCTAAATTAATTATTGAAACATTCACTGAAAGTCGTTGTCTTTCAATCTTATAGTAACAACAATGGAGCGGAAACCCACAATGGATTGGTAGAGGTGCGAAAACATGTTTTATGATAGGCAATAAGTATTCGCCGCGAACTGTTTATTGTCTGTGCGGATAGATCATTATAATCAACGAAAAGATTAATTACTTCCTGCCAGCTCGCCTTCACACGAAATCTATCTAGTCGATATTAGCCATAAATCAATTACATAAACATTAGGATTAGGGTTAGTAGTTTCATTTAGTTATCATCATCATCGTGAATATTTAATTTAAATATAATTTGTGATTATAAATTGCTTGTATTCCTCTGATAAGCTTGAGTTATGAAAAGATTTAACAGAATAGACCCTTAGTTAGACAAAGTTTATACTTAATTCTGCAATAAGAAAAAGTAACTAACTAACAAAAGAGAGAAGCGATTTCGGAATTGAAACATTCGTCTATGTATGTATATTAGATACTTTGACTGAAATTGAAATGGCATCCTTTTGAAGCGGCAGTAAGATGTCTACACCGTTGGGTTGGGTCGTATATTAGTAAAAATACGGCATAAAGTTGTTTTCTTAGGTACTGAATTTGGAGTATATTCAAAACTAGTACCTAACTGTTGCGGCTTCAGGCTAAAGCCAGATAAGTAATAAATATAAACGACCCTCATTATCGAGACGGAAGGCCGACTGCACTCGGCACGTGTGTGCAATCGCTGAGGCCGGGAGAGCCGCTTGCACTAGCGTAGCGAACGTACAGTCTACTCTATGAAGTTCCATATTGGAGTTATTTCCTTCTTACGTCTATTTATACTGTATCCATACACTCCGGGCGCCAATTCCCCTAGCGTACGTATTTGGCATCATTATCAGACCATAGATCTGGGAATTCGCTTGGCACTGGTAGCTTGCATGCTGGCAGCGGCGCGCCTTGTACCAGACACTTACGTACGTCGCGCATGTCCGTCACGATCACTATTAATCTTCATACGACGGCAAAAGAAAGCTCCACCGTTCACGATCTGGGCCAAAGCCCCGGGCGAAGGACGTGCGGGAAAG